TATTTACTTTTTATCGAATTTTCCTTTTACTGTAATGTGTTCGAGTATAATTCCATAGCAGCATCGATCCACTTCGCACCATGGTTCCGCAATTTCCCGCTAGATTATTTTGAATCAATTATTGATTTTCTTCATGATGGTTGATTCTAAAACAGCTTCTACCCTAAAGTCATGTTTTCTTAGAAATTGAAATTCTAAATTGTTTTAAATCTTGGATGCTGATATAGATTTTGACAGTTTTTCTTTGTTTGAAATTTAATGAATCCTTATTGTGATTATGTTAGGGTTAAGGCTTAAGAGAGTATAGAAAGATGATCTACACAGCAATTGATACATTTTACCTCACGGATGAGCAACTGACAAACTCACCTTCCAGAAAAGATGGCATTGATGAAGCTACTGAAACCGCCCTTAGAATCTATGGCTGTGATCTCATCCAAGAAAGCGGCATTTTGCTGAGATTTTATCCTTTTTTTTATTAGTATTGTTAATATTACTATTTGTATTTTCAATGTAATCCTCTGCATTCGGTTTAGTTTGTTACCTTAACCGCTTGACAGACCACAGGCAGTCATGGCCACTGGGCAGGTTCTATTTCATCGTTTCTATTGCAAGAAGTCATTTGCACGGTTTAATGTCAAGGTCTTGATATATTTGCATATTGTTTGCTCTTTTTCCTCTCTTGTGCATAATGAATAAAAATGCTCATATCGTCTCTTTTTTGCAGAAAGTTGCTGCAAGCTCAGTGTGGCTGGCTTCGAAACTGGAGGAAAACCCAAGAAAAGCTAGACAAGTACTTATTATTTTTCACAGGATGGAATGCAGGAGGGAGAACTTGCCCATCGATCATTTAGACTTGTATTCCAAGGTTATAAGCTCCCATTTTTTCTCTTTAACTTTTGTAGTTCACATGCTGATAAAATAATGGATTAAGGCCCAAAGTATTAGATTTTAAAACAAATGCCTTATTGGGTTTACAATTGACATGCCATGATATGGAAGGTGTATGAGTGTAAGAAAAAGAAAAAGCAGAAGGGAGAGAATTAGAAATGTTGCTGACTGGCAGTTAGTTAGGATACTCCAATGAACTTATTAGGGGTAGTGGGATTGGCATTCATCAACAATTTTCTGTTGGGACCTTTGCGGTTAGGCAGAGGTAGTGTGTTTCTCTTCTCTGAGGAGCTTGGCTCTGGTTTATCTTGTATGAGAGCTCAGTCTCTTTTGGATGATCAATATTATTATTTCTAAATTTTGTCCATTCATCATTTCACTGCACTATCACATACAAGAGATGAGTTATTTAGTTTATAGTCATTTCAATGATTTTGTTTTCTTTGTGCTGAACAGAAATATGTTGATTTAAAAATGGAGCTGAGTAGAACTGAGAGACATATTTTGAAAGAAATGGGATTCATTTGTCATGTTGAACATCCTCACAAGTTTATTTCAAATTACCTTGCTACCCTTGAAACACCTCCGGAGTTGAGGCAAGAAGCTTGGAATCTGGCTAATGATAGGTACTTAATTAGAGAAATTATTATTATTATTATTATTATTATTATTATTATTATTATTATTATTATTATTATTATTATTATTATTATTATTATTATTATTATTATTATTATTATTAATTTTTTTTTATTGTCTATACTCTCAACATGCACCTGTACTCCAGTTGACACAATACGTACCCCATGATTCATTATTCCTACAGTCCCTAGAGATCCCGAATTAGACTGCATCTTTTCTTGTTATATTTCTTAAGGTTTGCTTCTATTGAAGTCTAGTCAGTTAGTCTCCAGTTTGGTATTTTATCAAGGCCATTTATACTTGGATGCAACATACAATGTCAAGTGATGGACTGATCCTCTTGGCACATTTAAGAAGTAAAACAAATCTTGACAAATCTTTTCATGACACTTCTGTTCACAAATTGATAGCATAATATTGTTCGTTGTGGGCACTGCTAATGTTAAAGTAAAAAATATAAGATACTATAAAAGTGAATTGATGTTTTCTAGGATATTGTACAGGCCAGGCAGCAAGTGTGACTGTATTATGGTACTAAGTTTTGACATTTTGTGATATTTTTGAACTCATTGAACTCACTGTATTTGTCAAATGAGTGGATGTTATGAAGAGTATTTTACTTGCATAAATAGTATATTATGCTGATTTGACATAGTAGTTATTATCTAATGAATGCCGTGATTCTAAATTGATTATTTCAGAACCTATATAATAGTCTCTGTGTGTAGTTTAAACCAGAGTAGTTAATAGTGGCCAATAGTGGCGCTATCCCATGATAGCAGAGAGGAGCGGAGGCCAACCGCTATGGAAAGAGCCTTAGCGGTGCACAACACTATAATGGCCGCTATAGGGTAAATAGAGGGATAGCTGAGCAGAGCAGTTCCTGACCACTATTGGGTAAATAGAGGGATAGCTGAGCAGAGCGGTTCCCGGCACGGAGTGGTTTCTGACTCGCTATCATCTTACCCTCTAAAAAACTGAAATTACCCCTTAAATTTACAACGTTTTAAGGGTAATTTTGGGCTTTTCAATCAAATTTCTCAACCTTAACCTTCCTTCATAGTCGTTTATGCACTTCAAGAGTCATGTGTTCTTTGATTATGAATATTTTATTTGAGTTATTTGTTTAATTTTACATTAAATATATGTTTATAATTATTATATGAATTTGTCCAAAAAATGATCAAATAGGGCGGTCGTCCTGCTATCCCGCTATCCCACTTTTGGGGTCGGCCGTTCCGCCCCGCTATCCGGGAATGATTACTCGGGTTTAAACATGTGGTTTCACCATCTCATGCCTGTTTTTTTTCTTATTCAGTAGCTTCTTACAATGTTGGACCTGTTATACTAGTTGCTATTAGTGAACACTTGATGTTTCTATAATCTTGTGTGTCAAGTCAAACAAAGATCTGATCTATCACATAATAGTGGAATACACAATTTATTTACTCATTTAATTGCCCGACCAAAATGTGAGCTTGTATCTTTGTTATGGCCTGTATTTAATGTTTTCTTTACCGCATCACTTTTGCTGTTACTTATATGCCTACCTAACTAGATTTTTTATGCAGTTTGCGCACTACATTGTGTGTTAGATTTAAGAGTGAGGTTGTGGCTTGTGGCGTTGTATATGCTGCAGCACGAAGGTTTCAGGTACCCCTTCCTGAGAATCCACCATGGTGGAAGGCATTTGATGCGGAAAAGTCTGGGATTGATGAAGTCTGCAGGGTTTTGGCTCACCTTTATAGCCTTCCCAAGGTACAATATTTACCAATTTGCAAGGACTGGGACTCATTTACATTCTCCAACAAATCATTGGAATCAAAGTCTCATTCAACTGCAAAGGTGAGGGTTAATTTTACCCTTTTTATTTAGAAAATTTGCTCCCTTTAGTACGCCAATGTATACAAATAATGGCACCGGATAAAATATACTCCTGATGTTTTCAATCAACGTATAAACTCTAATTTTTATCTTTTAAAGCGTATCCCTTATTTGGAGAAGTCAAGTCCTTTATTTTCAATCAACGTATAAACTCTAATTTTTATCTTTTAAAGCGTATCCCTTATTTGGAGAAGTCAAGTCCTTTATTTTTAACCTGCCTTAGAGTACAATATTATTTAGCGTCATTTGGCTGTCACGAGACCATGTTTGCTCTTGTGAACCTGTATTATTGACAATTAACATATGGTTTTATTCAAACAAATTTGAAATCATTGCCATTCTGTAGGATGCTCCACGAAGTAGCTCACCGATTAATCCTGAGACGTCAGCGCTAAAGGGAGCTCCAGGAGAAGCTAATATTGACTTGAGTGGTAGCAAGCTTGCTTTGGTAAAGCAAGCCAGTGATAAGCTGAATGATGCTAGGAAGTCTGATGATGAATCCAAAAGCATTGCTGCTGAGAGAGACGTAAAAGATGAACCCACACTAAGGTCCAGACCAGACCGTAAAATGGAGACCAGTGGGGAGTTACACAGGGACAGAGAGAGGGACCGAATAAAATCCAGGGATCGTGAGCGGGGAAGGGATTCTGATAGAGAACGTGAACGAGAGGAAGCTGAGAGGGTCAAAGTCAAGGATCATGGTCATCGATCTAGGGAGAGAGCAAAGGATTCAGGTACTTTTATAGCTTATATGTATGACTGTTGTTTTGTTGTGTATTTAAGTACTAAGATTAAGTCTTTGCTTTGGATGCAGGACATTCAGAGAAGTCAAAGCGCTATTCGTCACATGGTATGAGTTCATGTCTTTCTGAGTTTGGCATTTTCCCTTTTAATATCACCCTCCTTAACAGCATTTTTATATTTCAGACCGTGACCGTGACTACTACAGCTCGTCTTACCCATCAAGAGAGAAGGATCGGCATAGACATCATTAAGTAACTTAGAAGAACCAAAATTTGCCTAAGTGCCCCGCATTGTTACCTTGTTAGGGTCTATTGTAGTTTCTGTTTCCCTGACATGAAATAATATGTAATTAACAGTTTAATTGATATACTTTTTATTATTTTAAAATGTTACACAGGAATTGTTGTTGCTCCAAAGCATATAAATCAGTAGCTACAAGTTATATAGTTGGCCTTCATTTTGATCTCGTGTGTTTGTATCGTGGTGAAAATACTATGTTTAATTTGACATCTCTTTTGTGTCATAACAATTGCTTATGAAAAAGAGCTTAGTTCTTCTATCACACAGATTGTTTGATGATGTTTTTTATGGACCATCAATTGTTTTTGAATAGTAGTAAGCTATATCACATTTTCTTTAAAGGAAGAAAAAAAAAGCACTCGGAAGCATTATAACATGAAAAAATCTCCACTCCACAGTCCATTCAACACGAGCATGAAGTATTTAACTTTAAGTAGCTCATAATTTACACATACATAAAAGATAAAAAAGAATGAATACACCGAATAGATAATTCAAAAACAACAACACAACACAGGTTAATGATGATGATGGATTCATTAGCCCCTTGTCTTGAAAGGAATTGCTCGAATCACGATCTGGTGATATAGTGCAGCAAGTGCAGCTCCAATAAAAGGTCCAACCCAGAATATCCACTGTTTAATTTGCCACAATATTCAAACATTATTATACAAGTCATTTTCTGAAAGAGGAATTTCAAGGCCACAAAATCATAACAAAGAAGAGATCAAGAACATACATGGTCATCCCAAGCATGGTCTCTGTTGTATATTATGGCAGCACCAAGACTCCTAGCAGGGTTAATACCAGTTCCAGTTATAGGAATGGTGGCCAAGTGAACCAGAAACACAGCAAACCCAATTGGAAGAGGTGCCAAAATCTACAAATACACAAACATCACATTACTCCATATATAGTCCACACAAAAATGAAGCATATACAACCATATCATATCATACCGGAACATGAGAATCCCTAGCATTTCTCTTGGCATCAGTGGCAGAGAAAACAGTGTAAACAAGAACAAAAGTACCAACAATCTCAGCTCCAAGACCATCCCCCTTAGTGTAACCAGGATTCACTACATTTGCTCCACCTTTGAACAACTCAAAACGAGCATTACCCTCAAAACCCTTCACCACACCAGCACCACAGATAGCTCCAAGACACTGCATTATTATGTAAAACACTGCTCTTGTCAAGGACAGTTTCCTAGCCAAAAACAAACCAAATGTCACAGCTGGATTTATGTGTCCACCTGTTCCAAACAAAACATCCTTAGTTTAGTTTAGTCTAAAACAAAATAAAACAGTCAAGTACTATGTAACATTGAAGTAAAGAAAAAAAGTGACCTGAAATTCCAGCAGTGCAGTAGACAAGTGCAAATATCATACCACCAAAAGCCCAAGCAATTCCTTGTATACCAACAGAGGCACACTTAGAGGTTGATCTATTCACACCCATGACAGTTAGCACAGTGATGTATAGAAACAAGAAAGTTGCAACAAATTCAGCAATTCCAGCTCTATAAAAAGACCATGACTTCAACTCCCCTGGCTCAAACAATGGTGCTGGCGGTGCTTCCTTGTAGTCCTTACTATCACTCTGAGCTCCTGTGCCCAATGCATTCTTTTCTGAGAATTTGTTTGCTCCAATCTTAACATCTTCTTCCCTCTCCATTCTTTTTTCTCTAACTCAAAACTAGTTTTTTGTTCTGTGTAACTGTGTTCTGTCAAAGATTCTTAGTCCTTGTTATATAGTGGGAATTTGTTAAAGCTAAATTATATTATTGTTTATTTGCTTTGCTGGCTAATAATAACGGTAATAACTTTATGTTTTTGTTTTAGCATAGAATGTGACACTTTTTTTTGCTGTATATAGGGACCATTCTAGAATTCAAAAGCAAGAGAGGTTAAATTATTAAATAATGTTTAGGTGGATTGTTCTGGAAAGGAGAAGTAGGTTGTTGATGTTGTTCCTATCTTAACAGGGTGTTAAATGTTTTTTGTTTTGGATTATAATTGGTTGATTCAGTCATAGGATTCCTTTTGTATTGTCTAATTGTATGTTTAAGGTCCATTTTGTGTATATGATCAAATATATGGTATAAAAATTGTATCATAATTTTACATCATACAGTTTGTTGATTAGTTTTCTATTTATTTTGCTGTCTATAAATTTACTTTCTCTATATAAGCCAAAAGGAATTCCATAAAATAATATAGGATAAATTTATCTTATTCAGTTTCTTTAATTAAAATATTTATTATGAATTTGAGTTGAATTAGAAAAATTAATAGAATAAAATAAGAAAATAAATTAATAATAAAAAAATTAATATAATATAAATAAAATAAAATAAAAAGAATTTAAAACATTGATCTCACTTATCGAACCTTTATATAGATTTAAAATTAAGAAAGAAATAAAAAAGTCCACACGCAGATATCGTACTAAAAAAATCCATTTTCCATAAAGTATTGTGAGGAGGAGTTGTAATTCTATAATTTTTGGATGAAAAAAGCAAGGGCGATTATTACTAGTAACTAACGGTAGGATAGAAAAGTCAGAGCAGCACGGGTGAGGTAACGGCAACAAAATAATTGGAGTGGCTAAGGAGAATTGGCCGTTGGGAGCGACAGTCCCCCCCCCCCACCAACCGCATTGTACTTGTAATTCTTTCTATTTTATTTTATATTTTATATTACATTTTCTTTTGTATTGAACCTAGAGTTGATGTTGATTAATAACAAAGAATTCTGAAATCAATGATAATAATCTCGGTGCATAGGGTGGAACTGTAATTTAAGCACTTCAATATGTACAAGTCAGCTATAGAGTCTAAAATGAGTATAATAAAAAATGAGAATCAGAAAGATGTACTTTGAATTTCACGTTTGTTGACTATATATGTTATATAATCTTGATTGGGCTTGTGCACGATTGTACCCTTGCATTGGGCATTTGGCCGGTCAAAAATAGCTAGCCATCAGGCTTTTATGGACGTATACTAGCTGAGAAGTCTTTCAAAGTGGTGTTCGGCCCTTTCTGACAATGTCTGACCATAACAAGAAGTAGAAAAGTCACGGATCAGTTGCAAAAATAATGGGGACAAGTGCATTAAATTATTTCTCGTCATTGAAATATCTCACTGGTTTTTCAAATGAATAACTTTGGGTTAACAAGTTAGGGTGTGACGCTTCCTTCTAAGGCATTCAAGTGCACTTGAGTTCGGTTGCATTTCCTATGTGAAATCTAGTCGTTGCTTTGTAACTTCTTGTTTTCCATTGATCTAGTCCATTTCTCTCTCTCTCTCTCTCTCTCTCTCTCTCTCTCTCTCTCTCTCTCTCTCTATATATATATATATATATATATATATATATATATATATATATATATATATATATATATATATATATATATATATATATACACACATATATATATATATATATACTTCTGGACTCTTGGGAGAACTTTCGTTATCGAGAATCTATTTCTATTTGTAAGTGTACTTTCATCCTCTTATCCAGGAGCATTTTATAGAGTATTTACTATTCCTCAAACAAAGCCTTCCATTCCGCACTTAACCTTCACTTTCTTCGCCAAACTCTACTTCTCCCAAGTACCCATCTTACCTTGAGCTTTTTTCATATCTCCAACATTTTCTTTACCATGGCCAATATAAATGATCATCCCATAAGTTTGCCGAACGATTTTGGGAGTAGTGATTTCTCTTCTTTAGTTAGGGCATAAGTGTCTTCTAGTTCAGATTCTTATCATCTAGTCATTAATCCATCACCGATCAAAAGCAATTGTTATCCAACTCCTTTCATTTCTGGTTCCTCCGTAGAATTAGAGCATCTATTTCTGTTTCTCAAACGGAACAAGGGTGCCGTCTAGGGGAATCAACTTCTAATTTATGCAATTTTCACGAGAATCATGTTTGCTTCGCAAACACCATAGACCAAACTCAAAAATTTCAAATATGAATTATGGTGGTTCAAATCCAAATCTCTGGTTTGCAAGCTTGCAACCTCTTCAGGCTACCAAATCAAGAGCGAATTAACCTCCAATTCTTGCATTTTACTTTTTCATCGTTTGTAACCTTCTCATATTTAAGAATCGAGAAACATTTAGAGGCGAACAAGAAGATTTGTCATGGTCGATCCGATCATCTATCGCTTTCGTTCTAGTTTTTCGGTGAGTTCATATTTCTGATTTCCTCGAGAACTCTGCAAAATAGCGAGAAAAAGTCTCATGTCCAGATCTAGGATTGTGGCGGGGCCCGAAGGCAATTTTCATGAAGGTCGGGCCATAGCCTTGTGATCCACCATCTGATCTGGCTATACCATACTCCCCACCACTACCAGGGTGATTAATGGATCGACATCAGAAGGATACCGCAAGTTCATAGTTAGCATCAAGCATCAGTCTAATATCAGGGCGCATCTTGTGTGTACTATAAGATTGTTAAAGTCATAAGTGATCATGGTGGAGAATTTGAAAATAGATATTTAAAAAAAAATCGTTGATGAACATGACATTTTACATGATTTCTCATGTTCTAGAACTCCTCAGCATAATAGAATTGTGGAAAGAAAACATAGAACTTTACAAGAAGTGGCTAGAACTATGATCAACAAAACGAATGTTGCAAAGTACTTTTGGACAGAAACAGTTAACGCAACATGTTACATTCAGAACAAGATCTCTATAAGCCCTATTTTGGGTAAGACTCCTTATGAACTGTGGAAATTAGAAAACCTAACATTTCATATTTTCATTGTTTTTCATATTCTTGTTTTATTGTGAACATTAAATAGAACTTGAACAAGTTTGATTCTAAAGCACAAAAATGTATTATGTTAGGATACTCTAAATGCTTAAAAGGCTACATAGTATATACCACTATAACAATAATTGTTGGGGAATTAATTCATGTTAAGTTTGATGATAAGCTTGACTTTAACAAGTAAAAGCTAGTTGAAAATTTTAAAGATCTGGAGATTATCTACTCAGATTCTAAAGGCAAGGTTAAAGACTATGAATTTCCTGAATCAAAAGCTACTACTTCTCAAACACCTCTAAGGAAACAATTGCGAAGTTATTCACATCTTGAGGAATTGATTATGGAAGATAAAAATGAACTTATCAGAATCAGATCTTCATTCAAACCTTTTGAAGAAATGCTTCTGAGATTGGTGTCTTTAATAGAACCTGCCTCCATTTATTAAGCACTTCTTGACACTAATTGGATTTTGGCTATGTAAGAATAGATGAATTAATTCTCTAGAAATGATATATGGGATATTGTTTCTAGACCCAAAGGAACCCATATAATAGGAACAAAATGATTCTTCAGAAATAAGTTGAATAAGCAAGGAGAAATGGTAAGGAACAAAGACAGACTGGTTGCACGAGGCTATAGTCAACAAGAGAGAATTGAATATACTCAGACCCTTGCACCAGTGGCTAGAATTCTCTAAGTCTATGCAGACATAGTTTGAGATGAGTCTGATGGGAGAATTAAATTTCTTTTTGGGGATTCAAATCAACCAAAATTCAAAAGGGACATATATCCATCTAAGAAAATATATATATAAGGGGACTTTTGAAGATGTTTGACTTGTAATAATGCAAAATAGACAAAACTCAAATGCATCCAATATATATTCTAAAGAAAGATGAAAGCAAACATGTTGATCAAAAGGTATACAAAGGTATGATTGGATCTCTCTTATACATGACTGTTTCTAGAACTGATATTTGATTCAGTGTATGTCTTTGTGCTAGATTCCAATCCTCCTAGAGAATCCCACTTGGCTACTGTTAAGAGGATCTTTATATATTTGAAAGGTACTATTAATCTTGGTTTGTTTTATAGAAAATACAAGTATTACAAGTTAGTAGGTTATTGTGATGTTGATTATGCAAGAGATAGACTAGAAAGGAAGAGTATGGTGGAAGCAGTCAGTTTTTAGGTGACAATCTTATTTCTTAATCTAACAAAATGCAATCAATAATAGCATTATCAACTGAAGAAGATGAATACATTGCAGCATCTGGTTGCAGCACTCAGAGTCTATAAAGAGTCAACAATAGCATCTCATTTTTCACTTGCTAAAATCACCTTCTAAAAACTCCCATCTTCCTTCACCATTTCAAACATCAAACAATGTCTTCTTTTTGTAGAATCGCATGCGCCCTCACCATTGTTTCTGAAAAATTCATTGACTTCGACGAATTTAAAATCATGGTTTGGATCTTATAAGTCATGTTATATCCAAGAAATGGGTGAATTACTTTAACATGCTTGAAAGACCCATCTACCCTGTTATCATTAGAGAATTTTGAACAAATGTGTCGCTCATGCAACTTAGACAAGATGCCATGTGCATTAAGTCAACTATTTTTGGAATTCCCATTTATTGGTTGTTAAGGAAATCGTGTGTGGGGAGGTTGTGATTCATATGGACATGTACCCAAGAACAAGTCAATTTGCTTAGAATATTCTATATAAGATCCTTGATACCAATAACAATCTAGCAAGTGTTTCATTTCTTCTTTCCAAGGTGATGATCTTACATTAACTGCTGGTGTCAAACTTTCAGTCGTGAGAATATTCACTAGAATTATTCACCTATGTTGACAAACATCTTTTCTTCTTCATCCTGTCG